ATGTCAAAATTTATATGAATCTAATAAAAACTCAATTTTCAAAAAATTGTAAAAAAGGGCTGTTTTAATAGATAACATCCCATATAACGATAGAAACCAGTTTTCCAACCTATTAAAGCTTTTTTTTATTCATTACTAGATATTTTTCTATGGTAAGTTGTGATTAAAACTAAATTATATTGTTCTTTAAGAGCTGTAACTATATCTATATATTCATCTGACATTGCACAATAGATAATTATTCGTCCAGAAGTGATCTCATTTATAATTTTAAATATTGTTTCTAACAACTTATCTTTTTTTATAGGCTTAGGATATACTTGAAGATTTAATTTTGGTCTATGAATATGTTTACTGTGAATTATATTCAAATTAGGATATTTAAGATTTATAATCAATTGGTTAGCCATAAATTCACTACAAGTTGCAGTTAACAGAAAGATTGGTATCGAGATAAATTCATCTTTCAACTTGAATAGTTGATTCCAGGCTGGTCTATTAATAAGTTAATTTTAGAATTTTTCTTATTTGTTAATTAATTAATTACAAACAATCACCTAAAATATGCATATTCTATTATATAGTGGGCTTTATCTATAACAAACTGAATTTTTCGTATTTCTTTTAATATTTGACGAAACTTTAGGTTTTGAATAAATTTTTCTGATATAATCCACAAAATTTTAGTATATCCTGAACCAATTTCTGAAAAAATTTTTTTTTGTATATCAGGAGGTTAGTCTGTGGCAGCAAAAAGATATACTGAAGGTATTCCTATATCGATTAGCTCTTTCTATAATAGTTATAAATTATAAAACTTAATTCAATATTAGTTTAGATTTATTGTATATAATATAATAATATTAATTTATTTATATACCAATTGGCATTCCATTAGAGATTTTAACAGAGTGAATACTACTGTCAATCCACAAAACAGCATATTCACCACAAAAAAAATTAGAGTTTTACCTCCTTCCGTTGGCATAATAGTTAATGTATTCTTGCCTAACATAAAGCTTTCTATACTTTCATACTGCAACTCTTTATAATGTTGAAAATTAAAAACTTCTAACAATACTGCTTCAATCATATTTAATAAGGGTTGTGTTGGTAATTTTTTTTTGTATAATAAAATTTTGTATTAATAATATAATTTGTTAATCTATGATTCCAATAAAATCTATACAATTTACAAAGACCTTGTTCTGGGAATCTTTTTGGAAATGAACTACAACCTTTACATAAAATAAAACTATCAAAATTAAGAATAAGTTCAAAAAAGGATGGACAGAATATAGATCTGGTAATATTATCTTGTACTATTTTTCTATACGGAATTAAATCCTATTTAAGTTTTTTTATATGATTTACATTAGTGCTCTACAACAGGTAACTAAAATATAATACAATATAATTTTGATTTATTAAAAGCCTAATACTGTATTCAGATTTAATTATAATATTAATTTTAGATATCAATATTAGTTTTTAATAGATTAGAATTATATATAGATATCAACTTTTTATGTTTTAATTTTAATGTCTATCATAGAATATTAATTAGATAATTTAATTTTAACTTACTTGTGACCAATCAAAATCTTGTAATTGGTTTTTTTTGCTGAACTATTTTTTTTACTCACATATCGTTTCTTTTATGAATTTTAGCAACTTTACAATTTCATTTATCTTCTCTTTGTTTCCAAATTTTGCTGATGTTTAGTAAATCTTGGTCTGAAAAACTCGAAATTTTCCCTGCTTGTCGCAAAATTTGCAACATTTCCAGAAAACTATTATTGTTATGAATTACTGCTAATGCATAGCGAGTTCTATAAGATTTTGGATAATCCTGTTTTTTGTCTGTATAATTTAACTTTATTCTATTTACATATTCATTTTGACTAGTATGTATTTTTGTGATTAAACTTTGGTGAGGAGCTAATTGAATAATTCCTTTAAGAAAAGCTTTTAAAGCATTTAATTGTATACTAGATTTGTCAACAAGGTTAGGTTCTGGTAAGACCAAGTCTGGATTATCTACCTTCTAGCATATTTCACTCCAATACTGGCTATAATTATCAAATAAATATTCTACTATAATATCATAATGCATTTGATATAAGTCTTTATCCATAATTAGTGTGTAATTATCATCACTAGCACAAATACAAGCAGCATATACAGCTCGAGTATAAAAGTTCATTATTGATTGTTCAAGGTATTTCTATCTTTCATTTTTAACTAAAATTAATAGTTTATTAGATATATATATAAATATATTAAATATGAAAACATTTATTTTACCTATTTTTTTCTTACAGTTATCGCCTTGTGTTTTAAATCCACAAAAATTTTTGATACAATTGGTTGGTCTGCTAGTGTTTTATTACTATTTAAATCTCTATCTACAGCAACTCCAAGAACTATATTGTATTCGATAAGTGTAGATGTAATTTTTGATTAAATTGGCATGTTCTATTTGTTTGCTACTACTATTGTAATTTCTTTCATTAATCGTAATTGTTTCTCCTTTTTTATTTTTATAAATTTGAGGTTTTTCTACTAAATGATAAGCTACAATAGGCTTGGAATGATATTCTTTTAATAATTAATAAGTATTATTAAAATAATTGATTTATTTGTTAATATAATTAATTTAGTACTAATCTTCAATATTTCTATTATAGATAAATTTACCACTAGCTTGTGATGCTTCTCGTATGTAACTCTATAAATTATCAAAACTAACTTCCAACATATGTTTATTTTGTGCTTAAATTTGTTCACATGCAGCATATAAAGCAAAATTCACACTATTTTCAGCACTTTCTTGAATTTTTTGAAAAAAAGTTTCTTGTTTTTAAAAATATTGTTTTCTTTCACTTTGTTATGTAATACCACATGTACATAACATTGTTGTCTATTCTTCTTTATTTGCATCTCCAACTAAATCTGCTCTAGCAACAAGCTTTGAATAGTCAATTTCGGCTGTTTCATTTTTATATAACATTGTTGTAGAACATTTATTACAGGTAATATTAATCTTTACAGAAAATCCACAAGCTGTTATTTGATATTTTTTGGTTGCGATATCAGTATTGAAACAGAGTTACTTGTTGTAGTTAGTAGATAATAGCTATAATTAAAAGTTCTTGTAATTTTGCTTGGTTTATATTTTAATAAAATAGTGGCAGAATATGCCAAATAAAAAAAAATCTAAAAATAAAATAATTAGATTAGAAAAATATTCTTTAAATTTAAAATTTTGCAAATATTACAATTTCTCTATTATCTTTTAGATTTTTAAAATTTCTAACAAAATGTAAAGAATCTGTATACTTTTCCAAAAAATTGATATTATTTATTACAACTATATTGAAAAAGCTTATATTGTGATATAACAAATAAAGAACATAACAATATATAATAAATTATATAAAAAGAGGACCATTTATTAGCTGATATTTTTTATTAAGAGACTACCCCTTCTCTCTACCTTATTTTAAATAAAAAAATTTAATTAGCTAAAACTATATACCTGATAATTTTTTTTACCCTCTCCCCCCTAAAAAATCAATTGATTTCTGATGCTCTCCTAAAGTTTTTTTTTGGGTTTTTTTTGATTTGATTATAAATTTAATAATATAAAGAGTTGATAAAAGTAATAAAATATAAAATATACAAAATTTTGAAATTATATATATAATTTTTAAACTCTATATATGACTTTAGTATACTGTATATATTTTTTTATATTATATTTTTTTTATCAGAACTCTTGTACTAAGTAGTAAACTATTATTTGGTATAGATAGAAGTTTTGTTTGATTAGTAGATTTTCTTTTTTTAGCAATTATTTTTTTAGATTTTTAGTATAGATTTAGACTTTTTATTATTAGTACTCATTTTTTCTTATATACTTATTTTTATTTTTATTTATTTCTTATCTTTCAAAGTTTTTTTTCTTCTCTATAAAAAAATATTATTAGTTTAGTAATATTTTATTGTAAGATAAAAATCTTGATAGGATAAGCAACAACTAACTAGTGAATCTAGAAATTAAAAATTTTTAGTAAATTTTGAACTTTTAAAAAAGCTAAGTATTGCTAGATAGGCTATATTTAAGTATAACATAGCAATTTTTTGGTTCACTATAAAAACCATAAGTAGAAGCTTTGGTAACTACAACATAAAACTAAATAAGTTTAATATTTGGTTGAGATATTACAACTATAATAGATAAATTGTCTGTGTAAAAGTTCAGTTTTCTTTAAAATAAAGTAAACAGGATTGTCAAAGAAAAATAAATAAATAAAAAATAATTTTAATATTATTTTAAATTAATTTATATAAAAAAGATTTTTAAAAAGAATATTACTAAATATTACTACAGGTAATCATCACTGCTTATATGTTCGACCAATCAAATTATAGGAACTTGTATAACTAAAACAATTTAAAACTAAGAAAAAAAGCTAAAAAATATCAATAACAAGTTATTTAACTATAGCAATATATTTTTGTATACTATAGTATCTAACAAAAGCTTTTCTATACCCAATATAAGTTCTCAAAATCATGCATAGCATCTTGAAATTTTTTGTAACAAAGAATATCTTGAAAGCAATCATCTGTATATTTTATAGAATAATAAGTCTTTTGTATCATAGTATTGCATGATTACAAATTTTTATATGATTACTAAATATGAAAAGTATACAAATATTTTTGAGTAGCATATCTCAATAATAAAATGATTAATTTTTTTTTTTCAATGTTAAGGTGAGGTCTTGCCTCATATTTTTTATTAGATGTTAAGTTTTTGCCTTATATAGCTACAAATAATTTTAAGAATACTGGCTTAGACAATTTTATCTACGACCTAAACCTACCAGAGTATGCTA